TAGAAATATTTTAAATAAAATAAAATAAAATGATAGCAGATGGCTGAAAAGAGAAAAAGAGAAGTCTATTCTAGATTGGATTACAAACTGGCAGGCTAGGAATGATTCTGGATTGAGTTTTACTTCTAGATTATCAGATGACAGGTTTGGCTGGTACATCAGTTACATCCACTACATCACAATTAACCACTACCATCCATGTCTTACTGATCGCAATATTAAACTATTATAATCAACTCTGCATGGAGATACCTATGAAATTGTTGCAGAAATTATAGATGGCACAGAATGGAACCATACAATTGGCATCAGCTTGATAGTGAACATCCTTTCCTCATACAAAGTTATGACTACTATGATACTTGTTTATGATGAACCCACTATAAAAGAGCTATCACCACTAGTTAAATTAGTGTTACAACTTGTATCCATAACTGCTCACACACATGCAACTTCTGTTTGTCTATTGGCTAGGTAGTCTCATAAAACTCCTTTCCAAACAGGAAACTCTTTACTTCAAAAAAGCAACATTGAAAAGCATCTCATTTGGAAGACTTGGGAGTTATTTACAGGGTTGTCAGAATTAAAACATATTCCTTAATAGTAAAGTAAAATATTGGTTGCTATAACTAAGAAACCAAAGTACTAAAGCTAAATTTGATCAGGTATATTTCTAGCAAGATTATTTTTAGATCGTGCAATATTACAAAAAGAATTTGTGGAATGTTACTTAGGGTGTAATCCTAAAGTCTCTGGAGACCTTTCCAGGGAGCATAAGATTTTGCAAGTTTTCCCTCCCAAATTCACAGACACTAAGACAAGTTTGCAAAGGGCACTTTAAGGTATGATCCCTCTTCCCCCACCCCTTCATTGCAGCAGTGGAAAGAACTACAAGTACCATATTTTTCGCTCTATAAGACGCACTTTTTCCCCCTCAAAAGGGGAAATGTCTGTGTGTCTTATAGAACGAATGCGTGTGTGCCCAACGCCCGGGACACTGCCAGCCGCCTGCACCACGTGACACCACCTGGCCGGCAAGCGCTCGGCACGCCCTGCTCTGCCCCCCCACCCTCCGGCGCAGGTGAGAACTGTTAATCACAGGTTGGTGTGTGTTTTCAAATGGCAATCCGTCTTTTCATGAAGCCCATGGGGAAGTGATGGGGAATGTGCATGTGATTATCAGGAAGCTTTCCATGGATCAGTTATCTGTTAGTTGATCAGACACATTTTTTTTAGGATCAGTGGATATTTGAACAGCATTACCTTCGTGTATGAAGTTTATTCTTCAAAGGCTACTTAGCCTGCTGTGTTTTTGATTTACCGTACAATATCTCATTTTTTGTCAGAAGTTTTTTTCTATTATTTACTAGTAGGGCAGCGTGGGCATTACTGGTTTTTTTAGATTTATTATTGAATTGTCTGCAGCAGCTCTTGTATAACTGGTGCAGACTGTGGATTCCTTCAATAATTCCACTACTGACTAAGAAAGTGATGTCAGTGATTGTGAGCAACAGAGCTTCATAAATTCTGATCTAGTGATGATGAGTTCTATGGGTTCAATGAAAACTAGAAGAGTACTCAAACTTTAAAGTCTCTCTTTTGTTAATGACAGTGATGATGGTTCTTAATGCCACTGTTGACTGCTGTTCACTTTACAAAGTTGAAATACGGTATTACTGTATTCTGTTATAGTTTATTAAATAGTTTAGTCAACCATTTGATTCAGAATATTTTTTCTTGTTTTCCTCCTCTAAAAACTAGGTGTGTCTTATGGTCAGGTGCGTCTTATAGAGCGAAAAATACGGTAGCTGTTTTCTAGTTTGCAAAGATTACCCCACAAATTACCTCTCCAGCTCCATCCCTGCCTGCAACAGCTGAGGCTGAGGCCAGTCTTGAGAGAGATGTAAACAAAGAAGGACTGAGATGCAAAAATCATCTCTGTTGGTCCTCCTGCTCTACCAGCAGAGCATAAGATACTTAGAAGCCTCTGAGACTGAACACTTCCTTCTACTGGGCGGTAACCTGATAGGGCTGCTCATTTAAACTTTCAGTTCTCTGCAAAGCAAACCATGTGCACCATTCTACAACTAGGCTACCATTGCAGGGAAATCCAGAAACAATATTAGCCTTAAGTTCTAGTAGCCTTGTGCATTCTAACACCTGCTACATTAACCATTTATAGTGAAACAGTAGCATGGAAAATAACAGCATTACAAAGCACCCTCTCTTCTACATTACAAAAGCATTGCTAAACCAGCAAAATTTCTATTTGCCATATTCATGTGTCTATTTATAAGCCTGAACTAGACAACTGATATGTATACCATGTGCAAAATATAGAAATTTCCCATATACTTCTTTGTCGTCAATAATAGCATGAAGGATATGGTACTAATTGTCAAAACTGAGCTATTTCCATTACTAGCTACATAAGATGACTCTGGGAAATTCACAGCTACATATAGCTACCATCTTACAGTTAGGTAACAGAGTCACATAAGAGTAACAAATTCTAGGTTAATGAAGCAACATATACACCCATTTATATAATCTATAAATCTTTGCCTAAGGCTCAAATAGCAACAGAACTGCCAAGAAAGGGTAACTCAAGTTAAAACTTGATATTGAAAAAATATACTCAAGTTAACATACTAAGCTCTCTTGATGGTTGTTAGAGAATTTTCATGAATTTGAGCAAAGCAATTGCTTTTTTCCCAGAAAACAATTTCTCTTAAAGGGAGAAACAGTGTATATCAATAAAATTACAGCAAATGTTCAAGGCAAAATGCTAAAAGCAGATGAAAATACTATCGCAAATATGAGAGGGGGTTGAGTGGCCATGGCCCACACACTGCCAGTTGCAGTGAGATGGGCCCACAGCCTTCCCCAAATCCCAGCACTATCAAATAGAACTGCTCAGTTACAGTGATGCTGCTGAAAATTTCTGTGGAGGGAAGGAAGATTAAACTGTGCAATGATTTTTCCAGGGAAAAGGGATGCATGGAGAGGATTCCTTATATATTCTTCTTCCTTGCAACATTGTGGTGACACCAGCCTATCACCCTGGTGGGTGACACTACTGCTACCAAAAGCATCACGCAATTGCTCACATGCCCTATTTCCTGGCAGCAACAGGCTTCTCCCAGCCCACCAAATGGCAAGTGGCCATTGCTTTTGGCAGGAGCAGTGGGCAACCTGTGGGAAGAGAAATGACCATGGAGGGTGTTGCCCACCGCTGCATGACAAATATGCTGTAAAACATTCAGGAACCTCTAGGAGTAGCTTCCTTTCAACCACTTTAATTCTCTGTATATTATTGGCCTATAATACAAACAGAACAGCTGATACGGCAGGGTGGGCAATGTGTGGCCCTCTTGCCATAGCTGGACCACAACTTCCGTAACTTCTCAACATTGATTTGCCAGTTTGGACTACAGGGTGTTGCAGTCCACTAATATCTTGAAGGCCGACATGCAATGGTAAGAGACAAAGGTTACCACAAGAGGAAAAACTTAGTCAACTGCTCATTACAAATAGGCCTCACAAATTCATCCTTGATCATGCCTGTTACAGTGGCTGTGTAAGATTTTAAGATATCTAAAAGAATACAGATTATTATATCTGGAAACAGTTTAGCTGAAACTTTCTAACAGGAAAAGAATATGAACAATTACTATTGCACAGTATTCTGAATGCATGAAACAAAATAAAAGCAATGATCAGAAATAAAAGCAACTGAATATTTGAGTTATTACTACACTATAACATGTTTGCAAAGCTCATGCACACATATTATCACAAAATAATCATATATATCACATTAAAATCCAAACATACAATTGCTTATAATACCTGGAACTAACAGTCATGATAACCCAGCAAGAAATCCAGTAATACCTGAGAGCTAGTAGACAAATGCCCCAATAAGAAATCCAAAAAGAAATGCATGAAATATATGCTAGTCTTTAAGAATATGGAAATTTGTTGTAGAATAAGCTTCTGATAAAACTACCCGAACAGTTCAGTGGAAAAGTCAAGCATGTTTACATGGATAGGTGGGGGTGAGGAGGTGCCAGAAGGTTCAAGAGCACAAGATAAGAAGATGTCTATACAAACAGAGAATGCATAATGTTGAAATAAATAATTACAATTGTATTATGAAATTGTATTGTAAAATATAATTGCATTATGAAAATTGTGAACTATAAATGGCAATGTTTCTATTTGTAGAATCATTTTGTGCTCTTCACTGACCTTTGTTGGGAATGGAAACTTTGAAGGTTCAGTTTTGCAAGGTGTGTGAATAGCAGTCAATGGAGGTGGCCAAATATGAGTCATCTCCTGTTGTGAATACAAAAAAAAGATATGCAGCACAATTATATTTTAATGCAAACCAGAAAGTAAATTTAAGATATTAAAATATTGAAAATATTTGCATTATGAAAAGCAATTAACGACTGTTCAACAGTATTGCAGTTCAGAGAATGAAAAAAACAAAAACAAAAATCTGATAGCCCTGTGAGCCCAGAAAAACTGAACATCTATAAAAACTTGTATTTACAGCTCTTCCAGCTTTATGTGGGTTTTCACATGTAAAAAACGATTACCCTTCCCTGTCCTTACCCCTGCCTTCCCTTTGTTTTCTTCAAATCTCCCCTCCAAAGGATGCCCCAACATGCAGAGCAGACCTGACAGGCATGTAAGGCACCCCAAAGGGGTAAGGCAATCTGTTCAACTAGCATTATAGCTTCTGTTGGTAGACTGACATCATTAAACAGAACTCCGGATTCTTAAATGAACTTTCTAGGTACTAACCAAGGCAATTTCCCTGTGAGGGATGGGAAAGAACATCTTAATTATAATTCTGAAAAAAAACACAAAACTCTAGGTTGGCTCCAGGCTATGCAATAAATCTATTTTTTTCTGCCATCTCAATCAGATAAACGTGCACAGGTACTAAACTCATGTCTGGGTTGAATCACTAGGCTAGATGAGGGCCTATACACTTAAGCTACCTGCGCCCCTACCTGGAGTTCGACTGCCTGGCGACGGTGACACACGCGCTGGTGACTTCCCGCCTAGACTTCTGTAACGCGCTTTACGTGGGGCTTCCCCTGAAGACGGTCCGAACACTTCAACTGGTGCAAAATAGAGCTGCCAGGTTGCTGACGGGGACAGGGCGTTATGCTCACATGACTCCAGTCCTCCGTCAGCTTCACTGGCTGCCCATTGAAGCCCGGGCCCAATTCAAGGTGTTGATTATGACCTATAAAGCCCTAAACGGCTTGGGTCCTGGCTACCTGAACGAGCGCTTACGTCCGTATATGCCCGACCGCCCTTTGAGATCTGCGGGAGAGTCCCTTCTCCGGGAACCCTCCATGAAAGAAATTAGGAGAGTAAGTACTCGGAGGAGGGCTTTCTCTGTGGTGGCGCCCAACCTATGGAATTCACTCCCCAAAGAGGTCCGCCTGGCACCATTGTTACTGGTTTTTCGGCGCCAGGTAAAGACCTTTTTATTTAAACATCATTTTAATTGTTAAAATATATGATCTGGCCAGGGCAACTTCTTCCTTCTCTTTTCTCCTCCTATATTATTTATTTACTTTATACTGATAATTTTAATTTTATATTATTATGTTTGTAACTCAATGTATTTTTTTATTTTTGTATTTAATGGTAATTTATTATGTTCTATTGTATTTCAATGTATTTTATTGTGTTGTAAGCCGCCCCGAGGCTTCGGCAAGGGGCGGCATAGAACTGTAATAATAATAATAATAATAATAATAATAATAATAATAATAAGCTAAATTTTGATGAGTTTAAAGCTTGACTAATTCCCATGTTTGAGAAACAGTGTACAGCATACTGTAGAAGTGGATGTCTCCACCTGAAAAAGCAGGTACTCCTTGATCCATCACTGTCTCTGGAAGCCTGGATGGCATGGCCTACCTTTTTCCAGCTTTAGCTGGCATTCTAGCTACAAACATTTCAGGTGAGAAATAATCTGGCCACAGGTTTTTTCTACGCTTTGGTATGTTCCTGATTAGATTAAGCAAATGGATTTATGCATGAAGTTGTCCTTGGAGTAGACCTGGAAGCTTTGATTCAAGTGCCAGAATTTCAACTGATGTTGCCAAGTAGACTCACAATATACCTAATTTGAAGAAACTAGACTGGCTGCCTATTTGCTGGTGCAAATGCTGGGACCCAAACACTTAAAAGTTTTTCCATATACCAACCTACCCATGTAAGAGCATCAATTGAAGATCTTTCCCATGAACCCTCATTAGGGGAAGTAGATTATATATACCTTTCCTATTGTAGTGCCTTGATTGTGGAATATCCCTCCCACTATGACTGGTGCCAACATTACAGTATTTTCAGCACAAGTGCCAAACTACTGCTAAAAACAATTTGCACAGACAATTTAATTTTGTTATGATTAGCTTGTTTCTCTTATTTTAACAGCCATTTAATTGCTTTACTGGAGGCTTTTTCTTATTTGCCTTTGTCTTTTTAATTTGATGTACTGAATTTTAGTGGTGCATATTATAAACATCCGTCATATCCACAAGGTGGTTTAAAAATATTTAAAATAATAAAACCTCCACTTGCAGTACACCTCTGCTTAAAGCAGGGGAAGTGATTTTGTTTTTGTTTAAAATTTGAATCCCTTTCCCTGTTTAGACTCATATGGGAGGTGATACTGGGGGCTGCAGGGGGAAAGAGGCACTGGAAAAAAATGAAGCAGGAAGACTCTACCAGCTTTTGTTCCTTTCTGTGAATGGAAGGACAAATCAGGATCTAGACTAATAAACCAAGTTATTACAAAATTGCAAATACTTGGATGTAGACTTAGGCATGTTTTGGGGAGACCCACTTAAATAAAAATAGTCTTCATTTTCTTGTTCCATTTATTTCAATAGGTTTTTTCTAAGCAAAATCTGGATCTAACCCATTATGTGTGTGGTAACCACTACCAAAAATACTTCCATACCAAAATAAAAACCCAAACTGTTTAATCAATAAGGAAAAAACCTGGTTTCACTGCTAATTAATTTCACATGTGGATATGTATTTCCTAAATGAGTATTCATATTGGGAGGGATTCAGAATCATTCCTCCACCTGCAGAAAGATATGGCTTGCAGAACAGGCATTTATATCCTTTCCTCGCTGCTACATACCCTTTGTATCTCCTCCAGAGCACTGTGGAACCCTTTGGAGGGCATACAGGGGGCTGAAGGAGGAAGAAGAGGTCACAGGACACCCATTCCACCTGTGGTATCATCCTGTGTATGGAGGGACGATTCTGAATCTAACACATTCAGTTTTAAGTAATATATTTATTTTATATTTAGGGTAATTTATTCTCAGTATGTTAAGAAAAGTTCCCTACACATTTAAAAAAACAAATCCCAAGAGCAAGAATATGAGTGCAACTTACTTTTAGAATTTCATCCACACTGCTCATGTCACCAGATGCTGATGCCTACAAATCAATGTTCAAATTTTAATGGGCTTATCTTTATTTCAATATTTTAACATTTCTAGAAAAGCAGTGAATCTAAAATCACCTTATTGTTTGTTCAAATTCAGGATTTCCATCCAATATTAGTATCCAAAAGAACCAATATATGAAGATATAAGGAGGTAACAGACTTATATGTATTAAAATAACTCTAAAGTTGCAACTTTCATAGTAAGAATGAAGATCTGCTGTGTAACCACCCCTTTCAATAAACTACCAACACTTAACTTTTTAATCTCCCATTCAATACCTTTTAAATATATGCAGTTTGAACTATTATCTAATCAATAAATCTTGGAAACAGTAATCTAAGCAATATAATTTAATAACCTTGTTTCCTGAACTGAAGTGTACTGTAATATATATATTTCTGGAACCCAGTTTTCATGTCCATTGTTTCCTGTGCTCTTTCAGATCCAAGAAGAAAAAAAAATCTAGTTCTATGAATGCAAATTCATTTAATGAAACAACTGTAAATATGAATCATAGTCGAAATCAAATAGCCCACCATCTCTTAATTTTAACTCAAATGGATAACATTGGAAATTAATGGTACCAATTTTTATGGAATAGTTCCCCCAGATGTTCAACACAGCAAGATGCAATATAGAAAAAAGTAACAAATTTGATTTAATCTTTCATATATAGTAAAAGTTCTCCCTTTGTAAACATCGAGGATTGGATCTACAGCATGCTTCCATTAGTAGATGTATGCACTCAGAGTGCTTCTGCCCACAGAAACTCCTCCTTACCCTTTCCAGTTCCCAACATAACTATCTGCACAGTACCAGGGAATTTCCCAACTATCTGGAATTTAGGTTTGCAATAGGAAAATCTATGCAAATTGTCCCTTCTTTTATTCTGTATGTGGCATTTCTTCCCTGGATCACAAGCCTTCTGCAGATGCAAAAGCCCATCCATTCACAGGAAGCAAACTCTGGATCAAGGTGAAACCACTTTCAGTGCAAAGTTAAATTCAATTTCAGAAAAGCTCTCATGGGAGAAGGGCATTCCAGTGGTGGGTGGGGTCAAAACTATTACAACATCTGCATACTGTAGTTTAAAGCTCTTGCTGTCAGTAACTGAGCTTTAGGAGAGACATTTCAAGCTGTTAGTATGGGAAAAACTGCACAAAAGCCAGGAAACAAGCAAATGATTGGTGGCTGGGCAGAAGAGTGAGGCTAGTGTGGCCATCTGTAAAACCTCCAAGGGTGCTGGCTTTGACTCGCAGTTCTCCAGCCCTGGTCTTGGTGCAATACAGACAGGGATGCAGATGAGATCGTTGCGTGTTTGTTGTTATTATGTTAATATGCATTAATATTTAGCAACACATTGTAGCTGATGGAACAGAAGTACACTTAAAACATTTTAAAACAATGTCATCAGAATTAAATGTGCAAATTTCAAGTTTTCAGCATAATATAGCAATACAAAAAAGCCGCTATGCAAGCAATCCATCAGAAGATGTCAGGCCTGACAAACATAACATTTTGGGTGCTAAATCCCTAGCAATGATCAACAAGCAGACCAGAAGGCTATACTGTATATCCTTCAGGTGTCAAAGAAACAGAACTAGCAGAGGAAAAGGATCTCGATCTCTCTCTCTTTTTAATGAAAGCATTTATTCTTTAATTTTCATTGGATATGTTTTACATAGCCTTGAGGCTATGTAAAACATGGAAAACTGCACATCATTGCTAGGCCTATTGACTTTTACATTCAAACTCAAAATAAAACAAGTGTCTTTCTAATAGGTGTCCTTCATCCACTGAATAACCCAAGTTTATTTTCAGGAAACAACAAACACCCTCTCTATTCCATTAAAAAAAAACGCATATGCAACTTACATCCAGTGGCTGGGAAGGTATTTTCAGCTTTGTTAGATGTGCTTTGCTGCTAAGCTTCAACTCATTCATACTGTTGCTGTGAGTCTGGCTACTGTAGTGTTCAGAAGATAGCTTTGGTTCCATGGACTCTTGACCATCCATAGGCCTAACATAGGCAGTAGGCTTCTGTAACATTGTATTTGATTTTGACATAAGTGATGGAGGGAAAGACTGGCTACCACTAGAAAATGAAGTTACACGGGAAGGAGAGTCCCAGTTGGCATCAGGGTCTCGTGGAGATTTGGAGCGCTGATGTTCCTTGCTGTGATGCTCATTTCCATGAGACCTCGAATGACTGGGGTTCAGAGAAGAAACTGCAGGTGGTTTTCCAGGGCTGGAAGAACGGGACTTTGAATGTTCAGATCCATGCTGTGTCTTTTTACGGCTACTGCTACTCCCACTGCTGCCATATGAGTCACGATCATGCCTCTGCCCACTGTTACTAGTGCTATTGCCACTGCTACGCTGGCCAGCATGTCCACTCTGTAAACCTGAGGACCGCTTCTGTGATTGGGAAGATGTGCTAGGTGCAGGACCAACAGGTGTCCATTTGCTGTTCTGATGAGAACTAGTACTGTGCCTCTGATCACCAAAGAAACTTTGGTTGGATTTTTCATCTGGGTTTGAAGGTACTGTTGGTTTGGGAATTCCAACAATCTTCTGGAGGGACCGGTCACCTATAAGATCATTCATTTCATCATAATTTCCAAGCATGCTTTGAATACGACTAGACAATTTATCTTCTTTGCTGGTCTGTGTGAGTAAAAAAAATAAATCATGAAGCAATAATACATTTTAAAATACACTGCATAACTAAAAGTTGTTGTATAATTTAGCATTTAAGTCATCTGCATGTCCTGAACGATAACCTGTATTTGCTAGTGCATTTGCTTATACAATAACTTAACTAAAGTTAACTATGATCATTAAAATGCTTACTTCCAACAGAAATCAGAGCTGTACGCTTTAATTACATGGACAGGGTTGCACTCCCCCTAAAGGACAGGGGTGCAGTCTGGGAGTGCTCCTCAACCCAGAGCTGTCCCTGGAGTCCTCCCTCAATTGTCACCAGCCAAGATGAAGCAGCAGGATATGAAATAGAAAACAGGATCATTCCACCATTTCTGATGCAAGTTTACTTACTGCTTCCCCCTCTTCCCTCCCCATCCCTTTTTCCTTTGTATCATGTCTTTTCAGATTGAAGCCTGCAAACAGAACTGTCTGGGTTTTATTGCTTAAATGTGAGCCATTCTGGGAGCCTACCTGGCAGAGGAAGTACTGGGGTAAAAACATGTTAAATAAATAATCATTCCAAGACAGACTTGGGTATTTATAAGAAACTAGCACTATTTATTTATCCTTTATAAGAAACTAGCACTATTGGCATTATTGATTCTGGGCAAGAAACATGTTGCATCTGAAAAGCATTTGTTCTGGCTGAAAAATTCCTTCAGAAGATTTCAGTCAACATAAGAATGGCTTTCACTATCAGCAAGTAGGGGTAATTTAACATTTAATCCTTCCTGAGGCTATGTAAAACATTGAAAATTAAACATAGTTTCTAGGCCTATTGACTTTTTCTCTGCAAAACAATGGTTTGGCCTGCTAACTTTAAAAAATTCATTTTACAGCCATTCCTTAATGCATTTTAATTCTGTTTGCTGGAGGTTTTAGTTAGGAATCTTAGCTTTTTAGAAGTTGGTCTGTATGCAGAGTTCTCCCTTTCCTTTTTGGGGTCCCTCTGCTTGGGGTATAAAAGTACACCACAAAGCTATTCCTACAGAGTTTCTGGGGTACTTTTCTGCCCCAGGCTTCTTTTATTTAATAGGAGAAATAAAGAGTAGAGGGCAGAAAGATTAAATTTGAATCAACACTTTGTGACTTGGAAGAATGAATTGGTAGGACTACTTATACATAAATAAGTAGTTAGAGAGAACTGGTTAGGTTATTCAGTAGGTCATAATTTAAAAAATAAACAAAATTACAACATAGAATGTGAGTTTGGAGGATGCCAGTTACCCCAGCAAGCTTTCTAAATCCATTCTAGAAGTCTTCACTGAATTAAGATGGCAAGGGACCTCTCCCAGTTTGTAAGTACAGATTTTGGAGAACACAAAAAATTCAAACATGAATCAGACATGTGGATTCCACAGTGCAGCTTCTGTGGATGTATAGACCTGTTTTTCACTTTGGACAGAGGGAGATTTGCACAAATTTGCATTAGCACTAAGGAATATTAACCCATTTGTGGTAGTGTGCATTCCTGGAAATAGAGCAAAATTTTGATTTAAAAGATCTGATGTGAAAAACAGATGATTATCCACAAAACTGAGCTAGAAAAGATGCAACAAAATCCATACAACCTATTTGTAAGACATATGAGCCATTGTTTGTTGTGCTTACTGACTCTGCAGAGGGCCAAAAGCTGGACTCCCTATTTCCAGGGGCTGTCAGGATTCTTCCTTTGACATCTTTAAGCCAAGCTACATTCACTTAGGATCATGATTCTGAGCACAAATTTTAAAAAAATGATTTGAAAATTTCTTGTATGGTAATTTTCCCCTAATGTTTTTTACATTGTGCATTTTAGACTTTGTTTTAATGGATTCTTGTAAACTGCCCAGAGAGCTTTGGTGTTGAGCAGCACAGAAGACAGACAAACAAACAAACAAACAAGATGGCTTCCAGTGAACTCTATTTAGTATATTTGGAAACCCTAAAAGCTTATGTCAGAGGAAACGGTGAGTATTTCTAACATAGAACGTATATTTAAGAACAAATCAAGTGAAACTCCAGCAAAATAAACAAAGAAACAGAAGTCTTACTCAAAGAACAGAAATTCCTCAATCGCTGCAAGTTGTATGTTTACACCAAGTACAGAGAGAAATTTATTCTTCAAGGTAACTCTTTGAACTTCAAAAATTCACTATGTGCTCATAAACTCCACTAATTTAGCCACTTCAAGGCAACTTGGGTTCTAACTCCTATGTGTAATCTTTTAGCATACTATACTTGCCTGTTTCTACCATGCATGTATTTCACATAATGTTTCAAATAAAAAGATCATAAAACTAATAAAACATAGAAATAAAAAGGAGTATTTGTTTCTTTCAGTCTCAGCATTCCCCATCATCTCCTGTCAATATTCTCAAGGAGCACATAAGGTTTTCAGTTTTCCTTTCCAGCTATTGTTTTCTTTCCACTGTCTCTTTCCAGTAGCTGAAATACTAATCCCACTTGGAAGGAGGGTGAGTTGTGAAGAGAAATTCAGTTCTTCTGGAATTGCCTAAACTGACTATTGAACATGTTTGCAAAACTAGAACAATATTTCAAATATCTGAAGGGACTTTTAGAAAAGCACTGAAGAGGGAAGAAAGATGGGACCATCACTTGACTGTCCTCTCCTCCCCAAATCTCTCATGTATACACCTCTTTCCTTTGTCCTACTCAGTCTGCAAAGGACAAGGTAGAAAAAGGGACCACCAGTGATCCAGTTCTTCTACCCTACCATGCTAACTTTCCACCATGTACTCAGATTACAGGAAGAGTTGGCAACTAATTGAAAGTCAAACAAGAACATATTGCGGAAACTACTGTGCATACAGGGTCTCATGTAAGGAGACTTTCCTGAAACTGCAAACAGTTTGGTAGTACACACACACACACCCCAACAACCCATGATTTGTTGTCCAAGCCTAGTGACCAATCTCATTATAGATACAAGGAATTGGCAAACCCTTGCTACTATCAAGTGGCTGGCAGAAGACCCCCAGTGCCAGACACCTCAAAAGGGCCCTCAGGACACTTGTGGGCAGTTGGCACTGGCTTATCCTCTCACCTGCAATCATTTGGCATTTTGGCTAACTGTAGCCTTTTTTTCCTTTCCCATTTTTTTTCTCCCTGGAGATTACAAAAACCGGTTTAACAGCTGGGCTTCATTATCCCTGTTTGACAGCCCTCAACAGCACCTTTCAAGTGCTCAAGTGGAACTCTGGAAAGGATATCAGCAGCTCCTGCAAGCTTTTTTTTTTATGAGTGTTTCCTCACTATGGCATGAGATTGCATATATATTACTGAACTCTACCCCTTGCCCTGTCAAATACCCCCCTTTAAAAGGACATTTGAAACTCCTTTTCGTGAGAAAATTGGAGGGGGGACACTTTCTCACCTTCACAAGTTGGTAAGCTTAGGACCAGGTGCAAAATATGTACTATTATGTGGACTGCTGGAGTGGGATGAAGTAGAAGATTTTGCCCTGAAGGGATGTAAATAACCCCACCCCCCCCCTTTTCATAAGCAAAGATTTCTCATCTTAATAGCTTGCCTTTTGACAGTGGTCAAGGAAAAGCAAAGAGGCAAAATGAATTTGGAACTCTTCTGGTCAATGTGCAAACTAGTGCTGCTTCAACTTTGCAGTAGGAACCCTTAGTAAATTGACCCAACCAAGTCTTCAAATCCCCACACCTGTGCAACTGCTAACATTTGAAGTTGCAAAATGTAGTTTTTAAAAAATTAAGTGTTTTTGGCCCAAATATTTTTAGGCAATAAAATGAATTTTATAGGATTCTAACAGCCATTCACCTTGGTACTGCTTAGGCATTCTGAAGGAACTTTAAGTGGCTGTCAAAATGCAGATTGTGAAAGCTAAGTGTGAAACCAGAGGAGAAAAAGGAAAAACGCTGTAGCAAGTTGAAAATAGTTCATAAGCATGACCAGGGGTCGGCAACCTTTAACACTCAAAGAGCCATTTGGACTCATTTCCCCACACAAAAGAAAACACTGGGAGCCGCAAAACCCTTTTAACATCTAAAATGAAGATAACACTGCATATATTGTTTTTTACCTTAATGCTATGTATATCTTCATTATAGTAGTTTTATATAGTACTATATACTATGTATATAGTAGCTGCAGCTCTTGTTCAGTCGCTAAAAACTGTTGTTTTTAATCTTACATTATAAACTAGTAGGACTCCTTTCATATATTTTGATTAGGATAACAGCTTCCTGGAGAGTCAAAGTCAGTGCTAAAGGGCTGCATGCCTTTAAGTTCGTCAGCAGTAAAAGCAAATGAATCTACCCACATATCATTAAATGTTTGGTTTTCTTCAGAAACTTTTCTTCGATTTATCCATGGTTGGCCTACCGGATGAAGTTGCAGATATAGGTGTGTTTAGTGACTGATTAGCAGATAAACAGTCAAGTGATGTGAATTGTGACAGGTCCCAAGCACAGCTTTTAACATTCAGATGAAGGAGATTACATTTGGACAAAGAGAATCTAACATGAGAGCCTGCAGGAAGCTTGTTCCACTCTTTCCCTGCAATGTCGCAATTTACTTAACCTGCTAGCGCAGTGTTCCTGAGTGGATGCCTCATCATCACCTATTCGTATTTGTATTTTGTAACTCGGAGCCTCGGTCGCAGATTGTGACACGTATTTTGGGCGACGGAGCCGCAGCAGAGGGATTCAAGAGCCACCTACGGCTCCGGAGCTGCGGGCTGCCAACTCCTGAGCATAACAGAGAGAGGAGAGACAACTAGGTCCTCCCACAGTGACTCCTGAAATGGGGGGGGAGGGGGGGGGCAACAGTGAAACCATCAGGGCTTATTGCTACAGTGAGTTGCCATGATGTGGGAATGTTCCAACAGACAACGTTCAGACAATATAATAACCCACATTCAGGGATTCAGTGTGGCTTGAGTTTGGGTTCATTGTGGCTTGAATGTGGGTTATAATACAGCTAACAAACCATAGTTTGTTAACCATAAATAGCCCACAGCTTACAAGCTGACACATAAACCATGAATGCTCTGTTCAAGTTATCCAAGGTTAACAAACCATGGTTTGCTGCCACAGCTAGGTTATTCTGAGTCAAGGCTAGGCTAGGCTAGGCGGAAAACCACCAAATCCAAGTTTTCAAAATAACAATTTTCTGTAACTCAGAAACCTGTAACTCAGAAACCTATACTGCTAACCTGTACTGTCTGCCTCATAAGTAGCAAAATTAGATGCTATTTAAATGCACAAAAAGCAGGTTAGCAGTTTATATATTGTTTATACAGAAGAAGCCAAACATTAAAACTATCAAGTCCTAAAAATGTCCAGACCACTGTGGGTAGAATATAGATCTTCAGGTGGTTTGGACTTTAACTCCCAGCATTCCTGAGCAGTGGCCGTGTGGACAGAGGCCTCTGGGAGTCAAGGCAGAACATTTGGAATTCTACTTTCTGCCCATCCTGATCTATACAATATATTGCAAGAAACTCAGAAATATTACTATCTTGAATCATTCTTTTGCTATAAGGCAAGAATATATTTTTACCATTATTGTTTAAAATATTCTAAGCTCTAACACCATATTAAGCTCTAATTCCAATATTATATTTAGACAGTTTATTTGCTAGCTGGTTTCAACGGTGGACACTGGTATACTGAAATTTTTTAATTTTCTGTTTTAAAATTATTATGATGGCATAAAGCCCACACCCATAAGTAGTGTAGTAATCAGTCCTTCAGCATCAAGTACTTAAAAACTGCTCAAATACATAATAATAATTTTACTTCTAGAACACATTTAACCCCTTGAGAAACTACATTACACTGTTGTAGATATGCTTGGAACTGCTACAGAAACGATACTTATTCATAATATTTTCATAAAAGTATATCCCATAGATTTAAGAAAAAACTTGATTTGGAGTGTGAAACTGCTTTTTAAAAACCTTCATGCACTTACAACTTTATATGGTTCAGCAAAGAGAGGAGAGTTAGGTGGAAAGGTTTCTTCACCCTGTTGAATTTCTTGATTACGTCTCTCTCTTTCTTTGATACGCAGCGCATTCCGGTCTTCTCGGTTCATGTTGCTATGAACAAAAACAATTTGATTATATAAAAGGCTAAAGGAGGAAAGTAAGTGATGAAGGAGTTTCCTAATGTTTACAATATGTAGATAACCTCCCTCCTCTTTAACACATTTCAGTGGGCTTTCTTTAGAGCAGTGGTGCCTGAACATCTCAACTCATGTTGCAGATTTAAAACTGGCAAAAGTTATAAAATTATTTTGATATGAAAACCACAATGCATTCTTTAAACCACCCTCCCCTTAGATTATGTTACCTGTATAATTGAGAAAGGTCACCTAAGAAGTAGAATCTATGTTATTAATCTTAACTTTTTATTTTTGTAGGTTACAATAATCTCTCACCAATATGCTCATGAATACACATTTCCATTTACAACTACTATCTACTTTTGATATAAATAATTTTTCTTTCAGTCCTCAAAGTGCCTACTTGGTGTCCACCCTCTGCTGCATGCTTTCTGCACAACTGTTTCTAGGTTCCTTAAGAACTCTATTTCTACACTAAATATAAATGTCACCAAACACCTCCAAAGTTACAACAGCCTGTAGAAATTCCCAAATTTCTTACAGATTTAGGTGGTACTTATCCATATGAGTTAAGAACCAGGAAGATTTCCCTTACAGAATTGACTTAGAGAAATTTGATGTAACTGAGCCCTGCTTTATTTGACCAACTGCTCTAAATATAAGCCATAAATTAAACAGGAGGGTGTAGGATTCCCCCTTAGCTCAAAAAAGCATCTAAGTTATGAAGGAGATAATACTGACAACAAAATGTGTAAATATTATGAATGGAATACTAGTCACAGATTTAGTTATATGTATCTAAAGAAGAAAGGCTAAGTTCATTTCATGGTTAGAACACTAATTACTTTCAATTAAAGCAGAGCTTTAGATTTTATTTTAGTGGTAGGAGAAAGAGGGCAAAAAATGCTGCCAACTTGGGGTGGGCCACAAGAGCCACAATTTTCCTTAGCCAAAAATCCAACTGGAACCTACATGGACACATGCAAGCAACCTGGCCTATTTTCAGTGATAAGTCCTCACACTAAAGATCTCAGGAATGCCGCCTGAGACAAGGTGTGCAAGAGTGAAGAGTGAACTTGGGGTGGGCCACAAGAGCCACAATTTTCCTTAGCCAAAAATCCAACTGGAACCTACATGGACACATGCAAGCAACCTGGCCTATTTTCAGTGATAAGTCCTCACACTAAAGATCTCAGGAATGCCGCCTGAGACAAGGTGTGCAAGAGTGAAGAGCAGGTGCCATGAAAACAGCAGTGTACAAACTCATGTCTATTAACAAAGCATTCTGGATGCAACTTATGCCAGCTTCATCAGCTGTGCTACTTTCATTCAATTCAAAGGTTTCATGTCTGCATATACTGTCGCCACATAACAACAAAATAGGAGCTGGTATCTGTCTGCATAATCAAAATTAATTTATCTAATGAATCAAGAGAGTCTGCTGGTACATCCAATGTCATCCATGAAAGAGTCCCCACTAGGCACCTGAAAATATAATTTTGTGCATTTCTTATAATTTCGGGTAGGTATATTGAAAAATGGAGAAAATAAACATTGTCTCCATTTTTCAATATACATACCTGGATTTATTAAGAAATGCACAAAACTTTCTAGTGATTATACCTAAGTTTCAACAAAGGTAGACCAAAAATCCAAATATCTGTTTGAGGCTGGTGTCTATTATGACACCCATTCATGTACCAAAATCACTACAAGGAACTCAATCCATTGCAATATAGGAGGTACGAATTTATCCATCCAATTTGATAATACAAATTTACACTTTTGTAATTTCAGAATTTTAGCTGTCAAAACAGTGCTGAGAATCCATTCCACTTCCTTTTGTTAGTTTTCATGAAGAGTTAAATAATTTAAAATATGTGTAACTTCAGTGGATATTAACCTTTACTCCAGTACAGAATTAATCTGTGTAATAATTGCCTCCCAAAAGAAGCAACTATTGAACATTGCAAAGCATGTATCTTTAGAAATATTTGCTCAATTGCACCAAGGGTGGATAAAAATGATTTTTTAAAAGAGGATTTTTAAAATTTAAATTGGATTTTTAAACATAAAATGCTTTTTGAGAAAAAATTATCCAGACAGTTGTTAATTTAATAAACATTGTAGTCCAAAGATTATTTTCATCATGAAATAAGGATTAATTTTAACAGTTATTTTTAGTTATACAGTTAGTTATACAGCATGAGGCTGTTTATCCATGCAATGTTTAAAATTTTTGGTGAATGAATTCCATTAATCCATTCACAATGTTATGCTTTTCCAGAGGGGTCTGTAAGATCATTGGGCAGTTTTTCTATCTAGAAGGTATTATCACAGATGCTTGGTTTTAAGTTCTCAAAACTATAAATTTGTATCTGCAGCAATCACATGTCTCTTCTTCACAGCAAAAATGCTATAAAACAAACAGAACTGAAAAAAAGACCTTAATCCCATTGTTCCTTTGAAAATCTATGTACACAGAATCAACCCCTTACCTCTTAAGTACTAAGTTTAAAAAAATCAATGAATAAAAGAATATTGTTGGGAGTGGAACAGATATGTACAAGAAGCTAAGTGCGAGGAGGGAGGGGCAAGCAGTAAAAATGAAATGAACCTTTTGAGCAGAATACTCCATAAGTCTTTGGATCGTTTTGTAAATAGCCTGAGGTTTATCATATTATTATTCCCCTGGAGGAGAAAACCTGCAATGATAGCAGGCCATAAAAGAGACCCAGATGGGAATATTTTAATAACATTCCTCTACCTATGGGTAAGACAGGCCATGTGTGCAAATTAGAGTGCCTTCTTTCAGTTGTATATAATTTATCAACTTCCTGGACAGGCAGAGCCTAGCCACAGTCACACATACTCTGGTAACTTCTTGGCTTGACTACTGTAACATGTTCTGTGTGGGGCTGCCCTTGAAGATGGCCTGGTAACTCCAACTATTACAGAATAGGGCCATGCGACTGCTGGTACAAGCAAATTTGCATGCCCATATTACCTTGATATTGTATCATTTACACTGGCTACCAGCTGAGCTCCGGGTCCAATTTAAGGTGCTTTTGCTAGCATATAAACATGTAACATATTAAGTCCTAAACAGCTTGGGACCAGGGTACCTGAAGGACTGTCTGCTCCCATATATACCTACCCAGTTCCTAAGAGCTGGTGAGGAGGCCCTTCTGAGAGCCATCCTTTACGGAAGCGAAGAGGATGGCGAATAGAAGAGGAACCTTCTCAGTAGCTACCCCGCCCCCCATTTATGGAATGGCTTTCCAAAAATAGTTGACCTGACACTATCTTTGTAAACCTTTTGGCACCAGGCAAAAACAGTCCTCTTCTCCAGACATTTTAATAATTCATTTTATACTTGGATTTTAAACTGTTTTTCTCTTTAATGTATTTTAACTTGATATCTGACCTCAGCTGACTATTTCCCTGTTTAATTGTAGATTTTTATTATTTTTATGAAATATTATTTTATTTAATATTATGAACCGCTTGGAGAATCTTTGAACTAGTATAGCGGAATGTAAGTTGACTAGATATATAGATAAATAGAGTAGAAAACCTTGATTTAAACCTAGTGTACTGCACCACCAGCAATGAACTGAATTAAATCCTTTATTAAGCAGGTGTTAGATGTCCAACATACACATGAGGCTGTTTCCTGAATAAGACACAGTTTAGGATGCATAGGCATGACAAGCAGCCCACTGATTAGGCTTTTTGTAGTGTCCTCACAAAAGTTTCTCGCATTCCCAAAACATGTCTATGGTCTAAAAGTAGGCAAAGATCCTTTTAACATGCAACAAACAAGTAGCTTTCCTCCCTCTAAATTTCCAGAAGGAAAACGCTTGATGTGGCAAGAAAAAATTCTTCTCTATAATACACATCTGGCAAATTATTTCTTACAGACTGTTTACAGAGAATCTATGCCTCTGTGTTGCAGCATGATTCCTGCATAAATTGTATATTAGGGGTTTTGAACTTCTTTCAGCCTGACATCCAGATTCAGTATGTCAGAGAAGCTCTTGAGTAACAGCATTCCATTGAAGGGAGGGGCTGAAAGGAAAAGGGAAAGCTCAGAAATACAAAAAAGTATGGGCATATTTTAGCTTAAAGCTCCTGCTACCCGTAACTAGGGCTTCAGATAAATACCTCAACCTTTTGAAATGGATAAAAAACTGCAAAAGCCAAGAAACAGCCCATAGTCTGGGGAAAGAGGGGAAACCAGGAAAAGGCGTGTAGCCATCTGAGGATTCCCAGAGCACTGGACTGGGACTACATATGGGCTGAATTTGGTGCATGGTCCTGAAGCTTGACACCCCTGCTCTACATAAAACACCCAAGAGGTTCATCCCTCAACTAAATCTTGTCTAAGAGTTGGTCAAGTAAATCTTTAGACATATTTCTTAGCTATTCCCTTGAATAAAGTCAATAAAAAACCTTTTTATATAAACCAAAATAGAATCCACTTTTTTAAACAGAACTGACAGCTTTCCCCAAATCAGGGGTAATATCACTATGCTGAATATCAGTATGCATGCTGTATTAGGTATGTACTCAAAATTATGAAGTCTTTCTAGTCATGGCCTTCAGTTTTCATAGCAAATGTTGTCCTTAAAGCATGCCTAGAAGACAAACAATGGACTTATCAGCTTTAATTAATGTTTAAGCAAGTGAAATGGCAAAGGTTGTGTAGAAAATTATGAGGTTCCTGACAACACTGAATGCAAACTATAATTATCTTTTAAAAAGCAACATAAGGAGGATCTTTCAAACCCTAAGCTTGCCCTGTGATAGTAAAATGTACTAAAAGGTAAAAGTATAAACGGAACTGAGGATCAAATTCAGTCATACATTCTTTTACCTCAATCAACAAACTAAAAGAAAGTAGTTTTAAACAATTACATTTTACTCTTTTTAAGATGTGAGCCTGAATAATTATAATAAAGAAATAATCTA